GCAATCGCAACTCGCGGGTCTTTTCCGATGATGGCAACTACAGCCTTGCCAACACCCCCGGCCACACCACGCTCAGCAGCCCAACCGGTTCCACGCCGACGTTGAGTAAGCAGGTGTCGCTCATGAACAGCACCAAGACACGGACAAAGAGTGTGGATGAGATGAGCAAGATGCTGGACGACATGATCCAGGATCGCGTCGAATCTGGTCAGCTCATTCGTGGGAATAGGGGAAGCATTAGGGTCGCGCCCACGCCCGCTCCCACGATGCCGCCGCCGCCGCCGCCAGGCCCGATCCACAGTGAACACAGAGAGCCAATCCGGCTTTCACAGCGAACGCCATCGAGGACACCATCCCCGCCGACCCAAATGAACGAACCGCCTATCAAACTGCAGTTGCTATCGAAACTTAGGACGTCGTATGTTGCCGAGTCTCAAGGGCCAGTCATCATGGAGGTGTAGATGACGAGGGCTCACTTCCATTCGCGGGCATGATGTCCTTGTATTGTTTCTGTTTTAACCCGCATCTCGTGTGTGTGGATGCGATTGATTTGCGCCAAATGATGATCTTATACCCGAGTTGTTTTTTTTTCTTTTTGTTTCATACTTGCTCCTGCGGTCATTTGCTTATTATAGATAAGCTCCCTCTTGAAGGAACCCCCCCTCTTGGGATTGGAGTTTTCTGGTTATGAAGAGATGAACAAGTTGGTTGGTTGGTTGGTTGGTTGTCGAATGGGTTTTGGTTTATTGCTGCCGAAGCCGGAAGAAAGGCGCTGTATCATATCTGTTCTTCTATTTTCTCCTACGTCCTTCACATGTTTGTGTAGGATGTATCTGTATCTCTTTTTCTTGCTATTTATTTACTCTCTTTGATCGTCAAGCTCGGATCACGGTGGGGAGAGGGAAGAGGAGGTTTTTTTCATGACCAAGACAAGCGGAATCTGGAACGGGTTTTAGACGATGAATAGGAAGGGAGCAAGAGAGGGTAAAATCATACATAACAGCATATGGCTATGAAAATGCTATACAGTTGATCCAGGCGCAAGCAGGAGGGAGACTTCGGACACCGGGAATGGGACAACAGGAAAGGAAGAGGAAAGATAAGATACCGATATGATTACAACCAAAACGTACAAGCGGGTTATAAACGCGGTATATCGTCAATTATGACGGATCTAGTGTGAATGGTTCCTCGGTCCATCCAGGTTGCTTACCAGGTTTTCGCTGTTAACATAACTTTGTGGAACTTTCAACGTGTAAAAAGTGGCCAAACTGCAATAATGACATCGATTAAAGCTCGCTTATATTCTGACCTTACGGGTTACCGTTTTTTCTCATCCGATACCCGTTTCTCTGAAGCTGATCGTATTACACTGTTTGATAGTTTCCAAGAAACCCTACGACGAGCATTAAACTATCTAAAAGATTGGTCAAGGCCAGACTGATGTACCCGGCGCTACAAAGTATGTCTAACTGAGTGATTTTAAGTGGAAGCATATCGAGTGAGAGATAGCCATATCAGATAGATTGCCTGGGTGATGTGAGGTTCTTCCCCGTAGATAGTGGCTAAGATGCTATTCTGGGACCAGCATGAAAAGGATGTAAGCATAAAAGTAACTGATCCCAGGTACAGCTATTACCAGAATTCATCGGAGTTGGTAAATACTCTAATAGAACACGGGATGCTAAACTCGGGAACCGGGGCGCAATATCTTGAGGGCCGAAGATATAGCATGAAGCGCGATTGGTTCCTGATACGACTCTTGCCCAAAGCGACCGACGGGAATCTTCAATCACGGGTTGCTTGCACTTGCTCATTCGAATATATTCACCTTTGGCGCACCTTTAGTCGTCGGTGATTCTTGGCAAGTAAGTATCTACCCATATATACGACGTGTGGAGTGTTAGTAGTGTATCAATCCCAAACTCCCGTTGTGTTCCACGACCGCGTCCACTGCATGAGACGAGGTGAGGCAAGGGCGAAGCCGCTCGGGTGAAGCAAAGGTTGGTAGGAAGGATTACTTGCATGCGGCACTTGAGCTTGCGGTGCATACACCCTGCATGCACCATTCAATCCCACAATCCAGTCAATTTCTCTTGCGCATTCACACAAGTCGAAGTCGAAGCGATCGATAGGATCAGAATATGATACATGCCTGTATTTTCTTGGGTACACTACTGCAACACTATTTGATACACACAGAAAGTGCCGAATCGCTTTGGTTTGGCCGAACGATTTGCTCTGTGGTTTCATCATCACCATTGGCGCCGTCTGGCCCGAGGGAATGGGACTCTCGTATATGTAGATGGTGATGAGTACCAAGAAGCCGGCAAGTGGTCTACCGATGTCCGTTTCTGGTGGTATCATTCCTACGTTGCTCATGTCAGATGCAAATGAGATTCGGAGTCGAGATTGAGGACTAGCCGTACCCGCGCATCCGCAAAATCAAAGTCAATTTCATCCTACAAATCCTTCGAAGAGATTCGGGATGGATGACGACGACTCGAAAACGAAGACCCAGCGAGGTTACACATCACAGGGAGAAAAAAAAAAAAAAAAAAAAAAAAAAAAGGACGGAGAGTCGTGTGTAGCTGTGCCTGCTCGACATGTGCCGTGTCCTCTTTTCGCAAACCCTGATTGGTCTTTCCACACGTTTCAGATTCGACAGGGGGGTCAAGAAATGGAGATCGTCGTCCGGGAAATCCACAATTGTTTGGATTCTCTTTTCCAAAAGTCCTCCTCATTTTCGCATCTCCGATGTCGGTTGGATGGGCACGCTCAGACATTGTTTAATGTTACAATCACCTAACCAACCCCAGCAATAACGCGGTATGTATAAGAAAGAGGCCAAGGGCATCCGCAGCGGTGGAAGAGGAGCCGGGTGAGATGAGGAAAGCAGGTATGTATCAAAACTTGTGAAGCTTGTGATGGTGCCGCGGGTAAAATGCCAATGTCGATTGGATGAAACTTGTTTGAATGGCAACGCCAACGAAGCTGTGTCTGCGTCAGATCACTACGGGCCGTTTACTGGACGACGATTTGTGCGGTCCGACGAAACGAATGCGGAAGGTGTCTTTGTTCGGATTTGGCCGTTTGTCATTACATATGGCCCCGTCGCAGTCGGTCGGTCGGCTATGGTTGAGAAAGACTACATATGTACTAGTATACATACTCTAGTACCAAAGGAACGGACATGGTGTGAGTGGTGATCTAAGTGGACAAGTGGACAACGGACGGTGCCCCTGGTGATCATTTTCCCCCGTTGCATGTCGGGCATGTCCGCCCCTCGGGTCTCTTTTCTTAGCCTCCTCCATCACATGTCCCCCCATGTTTAACTAGTGTACACTATAGTGCACCGCAAAGAGAAATCAGATGGGCTCTCATTGCATGCGCAAATGTGTTTGATGATTACCTCTTATCATTTGCTCTGGTCGCCGACCACTTGTTCCAAGTCATCAAAGGCAGAATGCGCATCCAACGCAAGTTGATGTGATCCAAAGCCACGTCGGGGCATTCGCCTCCCGGTACACTAGTCCCGTCCGCGTCTGTGTTTGCGGCGGCGGCGGCGACATCATGGGTTAGGTGGTGGTTTTGCTTTCCAGCTTCCGCTCTTGTCGAGCGCCCGTTTGCGCGTTTCAACACTGGCGGATGGTGTCACAGCGGTTTCCTTTTCGAGCCCGGCCAATCCTCCCCCGCCCCATCTCATCTCATATCCACAGTCCGTCGCATTTGTGCATCGTGGAACAGAAACTCATACACACGGCAATGGCTCGGTATATAGTAGCCCCCATGTAGCAGTAGCTAGCTCACCACTCATAGGTATTATCTATCGTCGCCTTGCTCAACATAGCCCGGATAAGGTGTGCCTCTTTGTACCCCCCCTCACGTCATCCTCACCACCTGCCGCCGCCTTCGATCCCATCCATTCCCTTCAACCCTTGGAGTTTCGCTTGACTTTGGAGGGGCCGCGTTTTTCTGGAAAGATCTGCTCAGATGGTTTCCGCCCTTCCAAGTCTCCAACGGCTTTCAAACGACTTCGACGCTTCGCCTACTGCAGATCTACACATCGAAAAGGGCCCCTCATCTCCAAGCAACCCCCTTCTCATCCCGGTCCATGGTGATCCTTCGGTTGTGACGCTGTCGACTGCCCAAGGCCCTTGCAGACTGTCTGGGGACGATCGCCGTCTGTCCTGTCCTCTCTGGCCAATCCGCTCTACCCGGCTTTCCAGAATATCCACGGCCGAATCCACCAAGCGGTCACCCTTCCTCACCTTATCACCACACTGCCCCAACCCGTCATCCCGCGAGTCTGCGCGAGGGAAGGTGTTCTGGGGCAGAACGGTTGGCATTTGTTTACACGGTTGATCTTCGCTTTGAGAAAGCCTGGAAATCTCCCTTTGGCATCCATATCCTCCCTGTTTCGCTTCTTCCACCGCTCATCCTATTCTACTGTCAACTTCCTCAAACCCCCCCTCCCCTCCTTTTTCTCTAAACCTCGAACCCGGATCCCGTGGACCCCCATACTGCTTCTTCCGCCGCCGCTCCTCGAAGGAGACACGCAACATCCCTCAACTAATTATCAAGCGGGCCTGTCAAAGTCAACATTGCTCGCTAACCCCTAGATTGGGATTTGCACATGTGCTACCTCGCTACCCAGTTGTCATCAAGCATGTCGACTTTCTACCGAGAAGCTTAATCTTGCTCGCCGCCCTCGACTCTATTGTCGCTGGACAGCCAAACATCTGGGCGCACCTTTCCCCTTCCCGAAAACAGCAACACAACGGTTGCCGGCTTCCAGATTGCCCTGGTATTCTTCGTCCATCCGGCTACGGTCGTCTCGCCTCGACGTACACGGGAATTTGGTACCTGACCAATAAAACAACTCTGAGGGTTAGATCCATATACACTCCTTCTGGACACAGCAACAAGCCACCAACATTTACTTCCCAACGGACCCTCTGCTTGTGTAGCCATCGGTTCTCACACGGTTTATGCCAAAAATGCCACCTACTCTCGACTTGAGTAGGACGAGACACGCCAAAATGATCATTTCTCCGCCCCGAATCAACCTGCGGAGGGCAGCTTCTTACCACCACGACAAGGGACCCGTCTCTGCGACATCTTCCCGTTTCAACTTCGACCACCTCATGTTCTCTCCTCCTCCGTCACCAGGTCTACCGTCGCTCTCGCCCCCGCTGCGCAAACCGTCCAAAGGATTCGCGGGATTCGTCCGGCCCAGGAGGGTTGTCCGTTACATCCTTTACATATGCGGACTTGTTTTGATTTTCTACGCGCTCAAGTGGTTATACACACACAGCCCGGTGCTCCCCTTCCTTTCTCGGCCGTATGACCACTCGCTAGTGTCACGAGCCGACCTACCAGATCACCCAGCGCCCATCTTATTGACCGATTCGCGGGGCCGGACAAGCTGGACAGTTTCGATACCCCAGGGCTCGGAGTTTCCTCTTACCGCCGAGGAGTTTACGAACGTGTGTGAAAAGTGTCGGGAAACGGCGGAACGGGTGCAGCAACTGAGATCACAGAAGAGCAGCATACCACAGACATATCTCGGGTTTCTTTCCGATACGTCGGGCTCTCACTTTATCGACGTCAAGGAGGCCCATCAGGCTGGGTACCTACCTGCGCCCGCGTCCGCGGACAAAGCGCAAGACACGGTGAAGACTCTTGTGGGGGAAACCGTAGAAGAGACGATACCGAAGCCTGTGTGCGAGAAAAGCTTGACCTTTGTTCTCGAGTCAGACGATGCTGGTCTGGGAAAGACTTTAATGATGCTCTGGACGGCGTACGGGTTGGCCCAAAATGAGGGCCGCGCCTTTTTCATCGACGACAGCCGCTGGGCCTACGGGAAGTACATGGATATCTTCCAGGCACCTCCTCGCGAGGACTGCGGACCGCCTCCCAGACACGAGATGCTTCCCTGCCCACTTGAAGCTCGCCATCTAGTCGTTTCCACCTGGACAGCCATTGACCTTTTCGGTGAGCTGCTTGTCGGAGGCTCCTCTGACGACCCGCTAGAGCGACTAAAACCGTCCGCGCAAAAGAAGATGTTCAACCTCGCCCGCCTCGGCCACGATGCGCTCTTCCGTCTCAACAAAGACGACAATGTTTACGTCGACAACCGCGTCCGCGATCTCATGGCCAGGCGGATCGTGCCCAAGACGAAAGGCAAGCAAAACGGTCTGGCCATCGGTATCCACGTCCGCCGCGGCGACCGCCACCCCTTTGAGTACCAGTACCGTTCTTCTTACATGCCTGTCAACATCTACGCCGAAACCGCACGCGAGATTTTGGAAGACAAGTTCAATCACACCGGCCCGCACGGGGCCGAAGATGCCGTCGCCAAGTCCCACAGCCTCATGATTCTTGCCTCTGATGACCCCATGATCTACCAAGCCACCGAGCTCAAGGGCGCAACACTGGCGCAGGAGCGCATCAAGCTCGCCGCCAAGCAGGAGATGAAGCAGCCCGAAATCGACAGGAACGTGATGCACAAGTTCCACGATGAAGCGTTCGGCTGGGAGGGCGGCTTTTTCTCGGCCATGTTCTGGAACTTGGGCCAGTCCAGCTCGAACGCAGATGTGGAGGCTCACAAGAAAAGTCCATCGGCTGATGCGATCCGGCTTAGGAGCCTGGTGGGCCGCGCGTACATGATGGACCTGGCTGTGCTGGCGGACGCGAGTGATGTGGTGATTTGCACGGTTAGTGCTGTGGGGTGCAGGTTGCTGGCGGTCATGATGGGCTGGGAGAGTGCGATGGAGAAGGGCAATTGGGTTAATATTGATGGGGGGTATGGGTGGAGGGGGGTTTCTTCGTGATGCGGTGCCGTTATTGCGAGGCCAACGAGGGATGGACTCACATCAGATATCAGGGGACTTTTCTCGAAAGAAATGACCCCAAGAACGAAAGAACGGGTGATGGATGAGCCATAAGCAAGGAACGCCACAGCTTCTGAAGCATCAACCTCAACAACCACAACCAACAACAACCACAACCACAATCACAACAACAAACTTGCCAGTCATAGCACTTATTCTTTGCAGCTTTTCGCATTTTGGACGGCGTTCAACCAGGAGTTACACTTTCATTTTCGGGGTAACAAAAAGGGGGAAGGGGGGAGCATTGATTATTCCGGGATTCTTGGGATAGGGCACTCATGATACCACATAACACGCATTCACTCAAGCTTTTCTCTATTCCTTCGTATGGGTTTTCTTCCTTCGATGTTAGATAGAACATGTCCCGGCTTCCTGTCAGTATCAGCATTGATTTTTTTTTGTTTTCTTGCATGTCTGAACCAAGCAAGTCAATGCATTTGGTTGGTTTTGTGTAGAGTGACAAAGGGCTTAGTTGGAAAAAAACCTACCTCATAGTAGTGGAAGATACTAAGCCACCTGATTCAAACAACAAATAGATATACCTACTCTATACATACATATCTGAACCGGCAGCAACAGATTTTCGATCATAAGCCCAATCCATCAAACCATGAATCCGAATACGTTTGCGTAAACGTTTGATGACGCCATTGCACTGCCTCACTATAACAATAGCGAATTCCCCGGTTTTTTTTTTTTTTTTTTTTTTTCCTTTTATCCTTCTTCTTTTTTTCCAGGCTGGACAGATAGTGGTGGTCAGCAAAGGCGAGGGACGACGCAAGATGACTTGCTTGGGCGGGATTGAGACGAGAGCGGGAGTAGCCGCTGTGGCAAAGCACAACCTCGAATGCCAAGAGATGGCTCTATTGAACTCCAGCTTGACCCCTTTTTTAGTTTTTGACCAAGTTTCTTTCAACAAAGCACGGAATGTTAGATACTTTTGCTTGCGAGTTGGGAATTGGTGAGATGTTTGAAAGGGGTGAAGTATGTAGATGGCGGCCATTCAAGTAGTATACATATTATCATATCTGTTCATCACTGCATCTGCAATTAGGCATTCATATGTATTCATTCGTACTCGCCGCGTTCTGAAGACGCTAGAACTTCCATTCAAGTATGACACTACCCTGTCTGCATCCAATTTCCTTTGCAAGACCAAAACAGCATGGCTGAAGAGCTCCAATCGTCTCTTTCCATGGTCGAAACCGTCAGATGCGATTTCCCCCATGGCATGATCTTGGGCTGAGGTTGCCAGTGAGGCAAGGATAGGTAGTTTGGACGATCTGGAGAGGGTACGTACCGTCCAACCAAAAATCCGAATACGAATGCGTTGCTCTTATGATTGGCTGAGAGACATCAGACTGCCCAACTCCTATTCGCCCGGAGGGAAAGCTGCTCCCGAAAGGTGAGGTGGTCCCTGAGCTTCACCAAGCTGGTGAAAGTGTGCTGCTGTCACCCCAGTTTTACCACCACTGCCCTTGGTCCCTAGCTAGGTGGGTAGACCTCCCCTCCCCTATCAGCCTATCGCTAGGATAGGTCGTAGCCAGAGAGGAAAGGCTACGATAACCGCCAACCATCGACCGACTTTATAAAATCAAGTCGCGTCGCCCATCTTCTCCCCTTTTACCCCCCCTCCTCAGGCTACATTCATTTTCTTGCTTGTTTGCTGCCGGCGTCCACGACTTTGGATTCTTTCCCTCCACGCCTTCTCCCCACCTCCTTCTCCAACCATGGGCATCCTGCAAGTCGTTGCGGGACCGCTGTCCCAGCAGTTTTCCCAGCTGGGGACGGTGTCGCAAATCGGTGTCGCGATCGCCTCCTTTTTGTTTGTCGCCGTCTTCCTCAACGTTCTCCAGCAGTTCCTCTTCAAGAAGCCCAATGAGCCGCCTCTCGTCTTCCACTGGTTTCCTCTCATCGGCAGCACCATTACGTATGGTATGGACCCGCCGCGTTTCTTTAAGGAGAACAGGGAAAAGGTAAATACTCCAACCGCCTCCTGTAAGGCTACGCGCGAACTTGGCTTGCTAACGATCTCGGCGCTCGAACAGTACGGCGATTGCTTCACCTTCATCCTTCTCGGAAAGAAGACTACTGTCTACGTCGGCCCCAAGGGCAATGATTTCATCTTGAACGGCAAGATTCGCGATGTCAACGCCGAAGAGATTTACACCGTCCTTACTACCCCTGTTTTCGGCAAGGACGTCGTCTACGATTGCCCCAACTCCAAGCTTATGGAGCAGAAGAAGGTTAGCAGAGGTGACAAAATATGGAGGTGATAAACAGTCTGCTAACATACGGTTCCCACAAGTTCATGAAAATTGCGCTCACCACCGAAGCTTTCCGCCAATATGTCCCCATCATATCCGATGAGGTTACCAGCTACCTCAAGAGAACCCCCGACTTCAAGGGCAAATCCGGCATCGTCGATATTCCCCCCAAGATGGCGCAGATCACCATCTTCACCGCCTCGCACGCTCTTCAGGGCAAGGAAATTCGCGACAAGTTCGACGAGACGCTTGCCGACCTATACCACGACCTCGACATGGGTTTCTCTCCCATCAACTTCATGCTTCACTGGGCCCCTCTTCCCTGGAACAACCGCCGCGACTATGCCCAGCGTACCGTCGCTAAGATCTACATGGACACCATCAAGGAGCGTCGCGCTCGGGGCGAGACTGGCGCCCAGGACATTATGTGGCACCTGATGAACTCGACCTACAAGGGCGATGTCCCCGTTCCCGACCACGAGATTGCCCACATGATGATCGCCCTCCTCATGGCCGGCCAGCATTCTTCGTCCTCCACCAGCTCGTGGATCATGCTCCGCCTCGCCTCCCGCCCCGACATCATGGAGGATCTCTACAACGAACAAGTCAAGAACCTTGGCGCCGACCTGCCCCCACTCACCTACGAGGACCTCGCCAAGCTGCCCCTGCACGCCGCCATTGTCAAGGAAACCCTCCGCCTCCACGCCCCTATCCATTCCATCATGCGCGCCGTCAAGACGCCCATGCCCGTCCCCGGTACCAAGTACGTTATTCCGACCGACCACGTCCTCCTCGCCGCCCCTGGTGTCTCCGCTACGGACGAGTCCTACTTCCCCCAGCCCGACCTTTGGGAGCCCCACCGCTGGGAGAAGGACTCGCCCCTCGCCCCCACAATTGTCCGCAACGTCCCTAGCGAGGAGGACGATGAGAAGATCGATTACGGCTACGGTCTCGTCAGCAAGGGCGCCAACTCCCCTTATCTGCCCTTCGGCGCCGGTCGTCACCGCTGCATTGGCGAGCAGTTCGCCAATGTGCAGCTGCAGACTATCCTTGCTATTATTGTTCGTAACTTCAAGTTCAGGAACGTGGATGGTAGCGATAAGGTTATTGGTACCGACTACGCTTCGCTTTTCTCGAGGCCCCTTGAGCCGGCGAAGATTTACTGGGAGAGGAGGGAGGGTTGCCAGTTGTAAGAGACTGATGTGGTGATGAGGAAGGGTGTGGATGCTTAGATGGGCGTTCTTTGGTTTTAGTTGTTATAATTTTGGAACTGGGTCTACGGCATATAATGACGTGATTGATCAATCATGAAAAAGAGTGTTCTTGGAGGTAGGATAGAATAGAGCTCGATGGGACTTATGGGAGGAGTGTCCCGAGGAAGACTCAGGGGAAAGAAAGGGAAGTTGCATTATAACTAATACCTAATACCAACGAACGAACACGGTGGCCTCACTGTGAAGAACAGCACATCCATTCTCAAACTATCTTGTGCACGTGTTGGTTTTGTGGTTGTGGTTGTCAGAAGAAGATCTGCGAAAGTCTGAAAGGACAACATCACCAGTTCGCGTTGGTGAGTCAAACAATCCGAGTCGAGCCCGACAACCACCAAACGTGTCCTGTATCGAAATGAGTGAACAGTTGAAGGAAATGAAGCAGCAATATGCATTTCCTTTTCGGTGACTCGTTATGCTGTTCTTGATTATGACACAACTTTGGCTGACCAAATGGCTATGGGTACGTAGTTCATTCACTCGCCGCGGGTTGTCCATGGGCTGTGAAAGAAAGGCAGCTTTTAAGATCAAGGCACTTCCAATCCCCCCCTCCCCAAAAATAAGGATGTTGAGGTAGTTATAACCCCTGAGCAAATTGACGGCCATGATTTCTAGGGAATTGAAGGAGGATTGCTGAGAGGAGAGCTTAGTGAGGAATTTGCCTGTTTACTCGATCCCAGCAAACTGGTGGAAAATAGAAGGCCGGATCGAGGAGGCATGGAAGTATAAAATAGAGGATGATTGGACGCCGTCAGGACGGTTCCAAGGATTACTGATGCTGATGCCCATAGCACTCAGCTCATGAGGCCGGCGAGGAGGTGATGGTAGTTAGAGATGCTCGGAGGATGGTAGAGGTATGGCTGGAAGATCACTGCACTGAGACGTGGAGACCAATACTGCTCAGGCTTTGTGAAGGACAAGGATCTATTGAGTGGTTTTATGTCACCTAATTTTTTGGACATCGTTTTGACTGAGGTTTTGTTGACGAACTTCCTCCGCGTCCTCTGGGAGGAGGGGGATGGGAGTGAAGTGAGGAGTCATGATGAACACGAACCTTGGGGAAGTCTAGTTTGCCTGGAAATCACCAAATTGGAAAGCATATAGAGATAATTTCTTGAAAGGCCAATCTATATCCGTATCGTTGCAGATTGTCCAGCAAAGACGACGATACTATACGACCAAAGATATGCATGCCCTCTACCCATTCTGCTTTCAAGACGATGACGACGACAACGACGACGAAGAGAAGACACCCGTATAATAGATAACTCAGTTTAGCTAAAAACGCCATGCTGTGCAACAATTGTTGTCTGTGAATGTTCTGATTTCATATCATCATCGAAACAGAAATCAAACAATACAAGCCGCCCAATGTTGCTTCAAAGAAAGTCCCGAAGTTCCCTCTTTTTTGTATTTCCGTCAAAAAGCAAAACACCGGTGCTAATGCAGGATTTGAATGGGTAGAGTAGAGATGTTGATGTGTGTAGTAGTAGAAAGGTAAGGTATGTTAGGTTAGGTGGCCAGGTGGTGCGCGCCGGTGAGTTCCAATAGCCGTGGTGATAACAAACGACGTTTGCCAACACCCACACGGCTTTCTATTTTTCTCTCCTTCGCTTGATTTCTGGGTATCCAATTTTGATGTTGTCTTCACCTTCGCTCCCCCACCATACCATGTGCGATATGGTCGGTATAAAGAAAAAGAAGGTGGACAAGTTAGATCTGGCATGAGATATAGAGAGGGACCTAGCGCTCTCTTTGTCATGACAAACTGACTGTTGACGCAGCGCGCTTAAGCGGAGGCGGAAGCCTTGTTAGCCTCCTCCTGCTGCTGCTTCTCCAGGGCCTTCTTGTGGGCGAGTCTCTTCTCTTCGGCAGCGACCATATCTGAAACACAAGTTAGTTAACGGATCTATACAAGCTTGAAACAAGCACACGGGGCCAGTAAAAAAGAAAAGAAAAAAAAAAAAGCAAGAAAGAGACATACCCTGCCAGAGGTTTTGACCCTCATAGTCCTCCTTCTTGACCTTCTTCTCGATCAAGTGCTCATGGTTAGGATCGTTGGGATCAACGACCATGACGGTCTCCCACCTGCCCTTGCCGCTCTTGGCGTCGGCAGTCTCGAAGGCGGCCGTGGCGATGAGGACGGCGAGCGTCAGGCCCTGGGCGTAAACACGGGCCTGGACGAGCTTCTGACTGGCGCTGAGATACTTGTTACGGTTGACAATGGCCATGGCGGCGCCCATGGCGGCGATCCAGGAAGCAAAAACAATGCTGTAGCGGTTCTCGCGGCCCCATTCCATGAAGCGTTGGGCCGAAGTCACGTTGGCCAGGCGCTCCTGCTCGTGCTTCTTCTTGCCGGCCTCAATATAGTTCAGCATAGGGTCCTTGGCGCGCTGGAAGGTGACGCTGTATTGCTCGGCCAGGATGATGGCGCCGAAGGTACCCGCCGAGGTAACAAGGAAGGCGCGGAAGGGGAGCGAGAGCTGGCGGACAAACTGATAGCGCTTCATGCCCAACATGACACCGCCGAGACCGAGGATGAGACCGCCGGTACCACCGATCAAACCGCCCTTGACTACCTCGCGGTAGTGGGCCGCCTCCTCTTCCTTGCTGATGACCTTCATGGTTGCTGTTGGTGTCGGGTTACCTTTGGTGGTGGTGGTGGTGGTGGTGGTGGTGTTCTCGTCTTCGTCGTCGTTGGGGATGAGGAAGATGGAAGTATTGGGGGGTTATAAATTTGTGTGGGGAGGCAAGTGTGTCGTTGCTGTTAGAGGAGCGACGTCGTGGTTGTTCGTCTGAAACTGAGTTTTGAGACAAAAGATTGGGGACGGTGGCGTGAATAAGCTAAGGTAGGAACAAAACTCGCAGGGAGATTCGGATGGGATGATGTCGATTAGGCGTGCACGGAAGCGGATACGTGCGGCAGGTGTAAGATAATGTGGGGCCGCTTTGACTTGGGAGCGAATGACGCACGACCAACAAGCTGACAACGGGAATCGAAGAAAGTTGGTAGACAAACTGAAAAGCCGCAATTGATGAGCAACACTGAAAATACTGATGACGCTTATATACCGCGCCTGATAAAGACCATTGATTATAGATGCTGCCTTTAGGTGACTTGGGCTTTTTTTTTTTCGCGCGCAGATGCCCCTTTCAGTGTTTACCTCCATCTTCCGATTTTTTCCCTCTCGGAAGATTTCGCTACCGATTGCTCTCAACCTCACGCCATAGCGGATGAGGGCGACCCGGCGCTTGCGAGAGGGAGCGCGCAGCGAACGGAGCAGACTAATGATGTAATGGAAATACCGAACGATACGTGGTACGAAAAAAGCCGCTGCGTACACTAGCCGCCGCTGCCCTACGCAACAATGGGAAACCCCCGACTTCCGAAGAGGACGACGCACAATGTGACAACGGGCAGCCGGGTACCGCCGCACAGTCTGCACCATCAGCCAAAGAGGACCCTGAAAACTTCGTTGCGAGTGCCAAGCGCTGAAGATCAATGGCAGTTTGTAGTGTACATAAAGACTTTGACAGGCCGCTGCCAGATGTATACATCAACCCTGGTTTAATTGTTAGCGTGGTTCTTGCTCTACGTCCTTTTCTATGGGGGTTAACAGTACCGAGCTAACAATCAAACAAGGGGTGATGTGTATACATGTAGTATCCCCACCCATTACAGACACACAGTCCCCGGGATAAAGCCGAGTGCCACCATCACGAACACTTTACCAATGCCGAACTTCGTTATTGTCATCCGTTTCTCCTTTTGTCCATTTCGTTGATAGAACCACATATGCCGCATCTTCGTTACCGTCATACAAACCAGATAAGCCAGAAGAAACTCCCTAGACATGGTCCTACGCAAACCCTTTTTTTTATACGCACATTCCCGTTGTCTTGTAGTTACAAATGTCGCCGTTTTGCTGAACGGGATGATCCTGACACGGGAGCTGGATGACTGGCCCGACACGCTATAACCCACCTCGCAAATTTCGGACGGCGAACAAGTATTCTCGGCCCGCAAGATGTCTTCGGCGATTTGACTGATTGTCGGCTCCTCCGTCCAGTCGGAGCGGATCCTCGTCGCCAAGTTTCGTAAACAACGCCGTGTGGTACACAATGCGCGCGCAATGTACTGGCGGTATTGTAAACCGTTCTGCCGGCGACCGGGGCCCTTTTAACTTCGGGTATCGGCCATGACCGGCAGTCGGCCAGGGCACATTCGTACAGGTTGACATTTCGCGTTGACGATGTGCTGGAAATATATACAACTGCTCGCTTCCTATTCTTCGTCGAGTGAGTTATTTATTCTACCTGGAGACTCATTCGGCCAAGGTTGCGTGGGTTGTATGTGTGTGTGTGTGTGTGTGTTTGAAGCCATGCTTTCACGGTTCGTTGCCGTGTTATGATGCTGTTCAAGACCCATAAACCATTCCAAAGTTCGGATGGCGATATGTATACAACAAGTAAGGTACGTGCTCCTGCACATATACTCGATCAATATCTACTGCAGGAACGGTCAAGGTTGACAAGTTTTTGCATCATGCACTTGGATATATCGTTGCTACTGCCTTCCTTTGAGAGTCTCCTGCTTTTCCACTTGTAGAAATAATTAAGAAGACCAGAGACAGTATTATCCACATGGTCACTGAACACTTATCTTATCAGCACAAGAACTGCAGTGTTGCAAAAGCCGCCAGAAAACAGCTAGTAAACTCAACACGACAACCCTCAGAATGTAGGCTCAAGATAGGGCTCAAGGCTCTGTCCCGATGTCGTCTGAAATATAAAGGCGACAATGTAACAACCGCGAGGAAGAAGTCTGGATATTTTCCTCCCTTACCGCGGTCACCACTCACCTCCCTTTGTTTGTCTTTGGCTCCTTCCCCTCTCCCATATCCTACTCGCATGGTCACTCGCCATCAGGCTTCGAACCCCTTCCCCTATCCTCGATGACCGTAGGTGTCTTGACCACGACCAGAACAGACGAGAAGCAGTGGAGTAAACCCCCAACTGTGTTCGAAGGCGCAGCGAACTGGGAACAGTGTTTACATTGTAGCAGCGGTGGCCAGTTCGATGAAAGCCGCTTGTACTGCTGTAGCTGCTGGCTCATTGCGAGAGGACAAGGTGCTTGTGAAGGGTTTCTGCAGCATGCTTGAGTCTACTATATTGTAGCGTAGAGCCTGGAGGACGAATGCAGTTTCAATGAGTCGTGTGCGTGCGCCCTCCATCCTTGTGAAGAAAACGTTGGAGGCGTAGGTACCATGTGTGCCATGTTATAGGATTGGCAGCAAAGTCTGCACATGCAAAATGCCTGTAGCGACACGAGCCAAAGTCAGGTTGAAGTTCATGCACGTGTTTGTCTGCAAAGGGTGTGCCTGGAGTCCATTTTGTGCTTCCTCTCGTCCTGTGTCAAGACGTTGGAATTCTCAACAGGAAATAGATATCACAAGTACTTATAAAGGTGATCAATCGTTGGTGGTGTGCTCACGGTGTTACGCCAAGTACGTGCATCATCACGGCGCCGAAATGTTGAGTATGTATTCCCGCCGTGAGAGCGTACCGTTCCCGTCGTGGGTGTTCTGAATTTGGGGCGTCAGATGTGTGGGACGACACCATCAGGGAGCGCGAACCGTAACCGATGGACCCGCAGAAGAAGATGGTCACATATTGGGAACAGAGAGATGCGACGTAGCGGCCTGGGTCGAGTTTCGGGAGCTTGTCGAGTGGGCTTGTTCCAGATGCGAGTGAGTTGAAAAGAGGGGTGAACACCCACCTGGGCACACGTCTCCATCTTCCAGTCTGGATTTCAGATGGATGGAACCTCGAAGTGTTCTAGAAGATGTCGAAGAGGGGCACAGGAGAGGTTGACGCTCAGGCCATGACAATTGCCATATGTACATAGGTACACCTCGTAGTCTCATACATACTGTACCCCTCGAGCCTCTCGCCTATCGTACCGGGAATGATCTCATGCAACAAACAACGCCATCCATGGGATGATTGGAAGGTCCCCACCACGTCCACGATATTGGTATCCAACGGACGATTAGACCCTTGAACTTACAACAATCTTAGGTGGGTTGATTCTGGAGAGGGAATTGGCACTTGCTTTGCTTCGCTGTCGAATTCGTTATCTTGATTAGAGAAAAACAAAAAGTTTATGTTAAGTGGTTGCGCCTGATGAAAGACACGAGAACCATGTGTCGATGTTGCAATGTCATGTCTCGGCAGGCAGAAAGCACCGTTCGATGTCGCCATGCATCTCAAACAGTGTCTGCTTCTCGGCCGCTCGAAGCGATCACCGTACACAGTGTGAGTCTTGAGGTTTCCATACTCGGGCATTCTGGATGGGGCAGCCTCTCACTTCAGGCCAGTGGGTTCACATTCTTTTGCGGTCCGTTTTCCAGCTCTTGTGTCCTCGGATCACAAACCGACTGAAGACCTTCGTTGACCGTGACGAGCCGGCTTCTCCCACAAAGGCCTTGCGACTGGACTGGGAAAGGAGATGCCCTAGAAAGATCTAACAAGCTATGTCATGCCTGCTTTGGGCGTGGTCCGTCTTGTCTGAGTTGTCTTCGGTTTAGGGGGTCTGCCAACCTTTCCGAGAAGGCAACTAACTGTTCAGATCTACCGGACTCTTACTGGAGAGGCTCTGGATAGTTCTCATGGTGCCATTGCAGTATGAGTGGGGTGAAGGAGCAGTGAATGAGGGCTAAGACAAAACGTACTGATAAGCAAATGTCGATACCATGAATGTATGACCTGTGCAATTGTGATATGTCTTCTGCCAGAATGAGTGACGAACTTGATTGCTAACTTTTAGTGAGATGTAGTTGGTTGAGAACTGCAGCGTGGGGTCAGTGTCGTGCATATCGGCATTGTCTGCGTTTTCTGGTTGGACCATGGCTGCTGGGTAAGTGAACATCCTGACAAGGGAAGTGACATGATCAACGTTTCTGAGGCCGTACACAGTAGATTGGCAGTAGAGAGAGGAATAAGAAATGACGATATCTACTGCGTAGAGAAGGATGCTGTACACTACATAGTAGGCCGAATGGCGATACTAAACCTTGGGCAGAACCTAACCCGATCTACCTCCTGGAGATCTCGCTCGGGCCGGGTTACTTGTTTAACCCTAAACTGTTGATGAGATCCTATACTTCATCGGAAGTGGTCGGCGACTTGACGTATCGTCCTGCTCTGTTCACCCAGCCAGGCCTGCTAACCATTGCTTATCCATCTGCGACATGAGATCACTTTATGGAGGTGGTGATGGATCGTACCTCCTCTGCACATTCTGAGCCTAGTCCAAAGTGACAAGGAGGGTGCAAGGCACCAGTTCACCAGGAAATCATCATCCCCTTCAACATCAAGATCTCTTGGGAGAGTTGACCGGAGCGTTTGACCGATGATACTGGTTTCCTCGGCAATCCATAAACCCCTTCCAGTCTGCTCAGAACGGGAATGCCATTCGCATACACATTCCACTTGATGATACCCTCTTACAGAACTGGCCCTAGAACAGCCAAGCAACACACCGGATGAATGTTACGCTGGGACCCACTGACAAGGACCCGGAGGGCGAGGCATAGCGGAATTGTTGGAAAGCCCACATTAACACAAATGGGGCGAATAACTCGCCCATGGTCTAGAGCATCATGAACTCCACCGTGCTGTCTGGTTCAGTTGTAGAGACAGACGAGCGTGTGTTTCTTCTGTGCTTCGGGAACTGAGACAATGTGTCAAGTAAGGTAGGCGAGTCGGGACCGGATGGCCTAGGCCGTTCGTAGACCGAACTACGCAGGAAATCTAATATGGCAAGTGTAAGAAATGAGCCGCAGACTTAACCAAAAGGTTATCGACCATATTTACCGCTCCATAAGCCGGCTATACAGATTGGAAATCATGGCAGGCCATGCTTGTAGTTCTTCGGGTTGAGAGGTATCCATTGTTAACCGGTCGCCGGTTTCTAGAATTTTGTCTCCAGGAGTAGCACGAGGTTCAATACCGTTCTCTAGGTTTTT